AAAAAAAAAAAAAAAAAGATGAAGAAGAAAGACAAGAGCCTTGTCCAAACTCCAACATTAATACAGAATTTTTTATACTTCCGAAATCAATCATTACTCATCATTAACACTGACTATGCCGGGTAACAATAAAACGAAAACACTGTTTGAACGACAGATTACTGTATTGGGTAGATGTAACCAGATGCTCAAAAAGTTTTTGAAGAATCTTCCGTAAAAATCTAATTGTTCAGGCCGCTTGTGTTTTTGAAAAAACAGAAAGATTCACTCTGCTAGACCGGTTTTTATATCAGGATTTTGTTTATATTACAACAGAGTATTTAAAATCTTATAACTCCAGGCACTTTTCGAGAGAACTGGGAACACATTGGTTATCAGCAATAAACAATGTCAACGATATCCTTGGATATGACTTGCCTCATAGCTTGACAAACCGTCTTTTCTGTTGCAGTGCTTATTACCGCATTCAAACTGCCCTGACAATCAAGTCAACCTCAGTTAGGCATCTTCAAAATAGAAGAGGGGAATACAGTGACTGCATCTAAAGTAGATATCAGGATGAGATCAGCAGTTCACAAAATAAGAATAACAGAAATATAACTCTGCCTGCTGATATCAGGAATATCCTAGGGCTTCATCTGATTGCTGAGAAATTAATTACAAAGTAAAGCCACAAACCATGCTAAAGCATTAAGAGCACCTAGACATGGCCAAAACACGGGCCGGGCCGGTTCGGGTCACCGGGATCAAAAACAATGACCCGGACCCGGCACGGACCTATACTCGTACCGGGTCAATGGCCCGGGTGACCGGGCCGGGACCGAGTACGGACCGGGTCGTGAAATGGATGACCTTGACACGACCCTTCAGAAATCCGGTCCGGGTCCAAGAGTGGGTTTGTCCGGGCCGGGTCCGGTCCAAGTCCGTGCTGGGTCGGCGGGCCGGGCGGCCCTTGGCCATGTCTAAGAGCACCCACAATGTTGTGGGTCTCTTAAAAAAAAATCAAGTGCCATGTAGGAAATAAACTTATTCTATATAAAGATGTATTCAAATGCAATAAAAAGTAGACATTAAAGTGGCACTAGAAAAAGGAGACCAAGCTCATTCTTGGGTCTATTTTGGACCCAAGTACAAACCTGCCCAGTCAGCAATTGTTCACAATTGTTTTTTAATAGGCTAAACATATTTTTTTGTATGCATTTACTATTATTATATTTTTATTCTTCGTTAGATATTCTAGACCTAAAAAATATTTCTAATAGGATTGTACCTTTTCCAGACATTACTTCCTTCTCTGTCCTCCATCTTAGACCAATCTGAAAAGGAAATAAACTATGGTTTGGCAAAAAAGGTACGTGGGAATGGGGATGCAAAATGGAAAAGATACATTGAAAGAGAACTTACACATTAGACACACTCATTTATAGAGCCAAGAAAAATCAACTCATTTTAAAGTCTTATTTACAAGGTTAAAAAGCATTGCATTCTGGACTGTAGAGAGAAACATTTTTGCGATCTTCTCTTAGATTTCCAACAAAAATTTTATAAATGTTTTTTCAACAACATCCAGATGAATATAGTATCAATGGACATGGAGATACCAATACCATGTTTAGCATCAACTCAACGTATGAGCTTATTTGACCTTTAATTCCCAGATTGACTTGAGCAGTATATTTATTGATTCCCTAATATTTTTGTGAATTTTTTAAGCAGCAGATTTCAGTTTCCTCTAATGCAGAAATTCGAGAAAAAGAACAACAAACATAAAATGCATAGAATGTATGAAAAAGTGGCTATACCTTGCCGGTCTTGTACTGAGACATATCGGCTATGCAGTACCTTCAACGAGTTAAATGAAATAAACATAACACTTTGAAAGACATTTTTATAAGCACGTGCGCAGCTAGTGATTTTAGTACAATAATAATGAAAAAAGAATTAATGAAGAAATTTTAGTGCAACCAAATATGCACCAAGACAATCAGTACCTAACAATACACCAACAGTTTTATATCACAAAAAAA